AAATATCTTCTCATCAGTGGTATACTAGAAGATATTAAGAAGGATAAATTGGCTACTTTTATATCTGAGCTTAAAAAAAAAACTGCCTTCAAAGGAACCCCACATACTGTATCAGAATTCCTCATTCGCCGAAGGCAATCCATATTTATTCAGGCACGTAAACATTTCGGCATAAAAAAGTGCTGGATCATGGATGGAAATGTATTGGTTATGATGCCCGATGGGTCAAAACGGCGACTTCATAATGAAGAGGATCTTTCCAAGGCCGTTGACATTACGAAAGATGATCATTCTGATGAAAACGAGCCGGCGGCTGATGCTTCTCCTGAGCCACGGAGTAAGAAGTATAAGCGTGTAGTGAAAAAGAAGTGATTTCCATTTATGTATTGTATTTGTCCATTTCTTGTAAAATATTAAATGTATCAGTCCATTTCATATATAATATTGTACCAGCGGGTAGTCTCTACTTTGTATATTGCTTTTAATTAGTGGTTGATTGATATTTGTAAGTATTTCTTTTTTTTTTTTTTGCTTCAACGTTTGAATATCACCCGCACAGAAATAATTACAAATGTTGGGTTAGGTTCTGCCTTCCCTCACCCGTAGCTCCGCACCCCGGTCGCCAGGAGAGGAATGTCCCACAACTCCCCAGATGGGTGTTGAAACGTCTGAATAAAGACGTGCTGATGGAGGCTTCCATCGTCCAGGCCTGGGTTCCCATGCCGGAGGGGCCTGTGGAGGTCGACGCAGAGGTGGGCTGGTTCGGTGAGGCTCTGTCGCATATTTGCGACGCGGCGATGCCCCGAGCCGGCCCTCAACCTCCTAGGCGTCAGGTGTACTGGTGGTCGGAGGAGATAGCGGCGTTGAGGGAGGAGTGCTCCGCCGCCCGCCGCCGGTACACCAGGCACCGCCGACTCAGGCGGGGCCACGATGCCGACGAGGAAGCACAGCTGTACGAGCAATACAAAGAGAGGAAGAAAGCTCTGCAGCTGTCCATCAGCAGGGCCAAGGAGACAGCCAGGGAAGAACTCCTGGAGACCCTGGACAGGGATCCATGGGGGCGCCCTTATAGGTTCGTCAGGGGCAAACTACGCCCCTAGGCGCCCCCCGTGGCAGAGGGTCTCCAGCCGCAGCAGCTGGAGGGGGTGTTGGAGGAGCTGTTCCCGAGACAGCCTCCCTTCACACCTCCTCCGATGATGCCGCGTGGCAGTGATGGAGAGGCCAAGCGCTGCTGCGGTTCCTGCCATTACCGAGGAGGTGTTCGCCGCGGCCGTGGATAAACTCCGGGGCAAGAATGTCGTCCCGGGTCCGGATGGTATCCACGGCCGCGTCCTGGCCTTGGCCCTAAACACCCTAGGGGACCGACTCCGGCGCTTGTTCAACGCTGGCCTGGAGTCGGGACGGGTCCCCAATCCGTGGAAAGCGGGTAGAGTGGTCCTGCTCCGCAAAGCGGAGCACCCCGCAGGTTCGGTGGTTCCCTCGACGTTCCGCCCCAGAGTGCTGTTGGACGAGATCGGCAAGCTCTTCGAGAGAATCTTGGCGGGCCGACTCGTCCAACACCTGTCTCAGGTAGGTCCCGATCTCAGCCCGAAGCAGTTCGGGTTCCGAGAGGGCGCTCAACGATCGACGCGATCTCGCGTGTGCGCTCCCCTCTCGGAAGAGGCGACGTCCCAGGGTGGGGTGTTGTTGGCGGTCTCTCTAGACATTAAGAACGCCCTCAACACCCTGCCCTTTGCGACTATTAGGGAGGCGCTGAAGTACCATCGCGCGCCTCCTACATTCGGGACGTGATCGGGGCCTATCTCGAAGACAGGTCTGTGCTATGCACGGGGCGGAACGGCGTTGTAGTGCCGAGGGAAATGCAACGCGGTGTTCCACAGGGGTCGGTTCTGGGCCCGATCCTGTGGAACATCGGGTATGATTGGAACCTGCGGGGCGCCCTTTTAACGGGCACTGACCTCGTGTGTTACGCGGATGACACCTTGGTCACTGCCCGGGGGCGGATATATGCCACGGCATGCGTGGCGCTGGTCGTCGGTCGTATAAGAAGGCTTGGGCTCCAGGTGGCGCTGGAGTAGACCGAGGTCCTGTGTTTTCATGGGCCTCGGCGTGCGCCACCTCCGGATGCCCAGCTGGTCGTCAGTGGCCAGAGGGTGGGGGTCAAGCCCTGTATTATACTTGGGGCTTGACCTGGACAGTCGTTGGAGCTTCCGCGCTCACTTTCGGAACCTGGTCCCTCGCCTTATGGCAGCCGCCGGCGCTCTTAGCTGGCTGCTGCCAAACGTGAGGGGCCCGGGAGAAGGTTCCCGCCGCCTATACCTCGGCGTGGTGCGGTCCATGGCCCTGTACGGGGCCCCCATCTGGGTGGGGGCCCGCACCATATCCGGGGAAGCGGCGGGTCTGCTGGCGGGGTCTCCTCCGTGGGACTTGGTAGCGGAGCTCCACGCGTCAGTGTATCACTGGCGCGCGGAGCGACGTTCCATGGGGGAGGCACCCGCTGGCCACGAGATTGGAGCGCGGAGGTCCGACTCTCGGCGGATCCTCAGAATCAGGTGGAGAGAAAGGCTGGCCAGTCCATCGACCGGCCTGAGGACCGTCGAGACTGTCCGTCCCATCCTCAGGATGTGGATGAGTAGGCGATGGCCACTGACGTACCGCGTGACGCAGATACTGTCCGGGCATGGGTGCTTCGGGCGGTATCTGTGTCATGTGGCGAGAAAGGAGCCGACGACCGGCTGCCACGAGTGCGGAGGTGTGGAGGACACGGCGCAACACACGCTGGAAATATGTCCAGCGTTCGTGAGTGAGCGCCGTGTCCTATATGGGGGACGATCTCTCGCTGCCGAATTTAGTCCGGAGGATGGTCAGTAGCGAGAGATCGTTGAGCTCCTTCTGCGAGGAAGTTATCTCGCGACAGGAGGCGGCAGAAAGGGAGCGGGAGTCAGCTCGTCCCGCTTCCCTCCGCCGCAGAAGAGCCAGGCCTAGAGGTGGGGGCGTACCCAACTCCGCCCCCCTCTATCCCCCACTGGGGCCGGGGTGACTGCCTTGAGGGAGGCAGTCCCCCAATCCAAAGGCCCCGGAGGTGTGCGCGTGTACCCACACGCCTCCACAATGGAGTAGGGCGAAATAGGTCGCCCTAACCACAAAACGAGATGGGGCCTGCCCTACAACATCTACAGGGCGGGCTGTCGCCGTCGGAGCTGGGGTAGAATGCACTTGCGTATCCCCTGGCTCCGGCATAGGCGCTCGTAGGTACACCGTGTGGTTTTTTAGTGGGTACAAGTCCCACACACCACCTCGCCATCCCTCCGGCGGGGTGACGGTCTTTTGAAGATTTTTCCACACGATAAAAAAAAAAAAAAAAGGTTCTGCCTTCTGACATTACTGACGTTGACATAACATATAATGTCAATCTTTATTTATTGTTGTTGTTTCATTACATATATATATTTGATTTTTTGTTTTTTAATGTGTAATGTTACTGGTACATTTGCCAATTGGATTTTTTTATCTTTATCTCATTCGTCTAATTTTTATTTCTGTTTACCCACTACTAATCTGTAGTATATATATATATGTACTTAAATGTAATAACTGGCAGGACATGCAGGAATACATAGTTTTTTTTTTCTCTTCCTAATCTTATTTAATATATATATTTTATTATATTTTACATATATATTGTATTGTATTGTATTATTATTTGTACGAAATAATGTCAGATGATGAATCATTTTATTCGGCAATTGATACCACTGCGTCTTCTGATTCTAGTGAATTTTATGATGAACCTCAAACTCTGTGTAACCTAATTGCATCCAAGATAGAAGGATCCTCTTCTTCTTTTAACGTATGCCATATTAATGCCCAAAGCCTCCCATCCCATTACTCTGATCTTCTTGACACCTTTTCTTCCTCTTCTACTTTCTACGCTGTCTTGATACCAGAAACATGGCAAAAACCGACACTGTCCACATATGCATACTGTTTACCAGCCTATGTTCTGATTCGAAATGACCGCCGCCGCCGCGGTAAGCGAGGCGGAGGCGTTGCGATTTACTTACGTGGCGACTTCCATTACTCATTAATTTCCACATCTAATCCCAATTACACAGAAAGCGCAGAATATATTTTCTTGGAGGTTCTCGTCAAAGGGGTGAAAGTGGTTCTCGGAGTCGTTTACTGTCCACCCTCCATTAACTATTTTACTCAACTTGAATCTCTTTTAGAAACCGCTGCTTTGGATTACACACATCACATAATTATGGGTGACTTCAATACTGATCTATTGAAGACCACACCATTCTCTCAAAAACTTCTAAATATAACCGAGTCGACTAATCTTTATATTCTTCCTTCAGGACCTACTCATCATAATCCTAGCTCTTCCGATACATGGTTTGATTTAATAATAACGTCTTCCCACGATCATATTATCAAGCATGGTCAAATATCTGCTTCCGGCTTCTCAAAACATCTTATATATCTCCAATATAAATTGAAAACACCAAAGATGAAGGCAACCATTATACATATGCGCAACTTTGCGAAAATAAATATGGAACAATTACTGAATGATGCTTCTAAATTAAACTTTAGTTTATTACAAAATACATCTTCAATCGATGAAAAAGTTGCTTATTTTAATGCTGGAATTATATAATCAACATACTCCCATAAAACCTGTGAAGGTTAAACGACCACCTGCTCCTTGGATTACAAGAGGAGTACATATGGTCATGACCAGACGAGATCGAATGTTTCGGAAATTTAAGCGTGATAGGTGCGATGAAAACTGGACTTTATACAAGACGGCACGAAATAGGTGCAACCAGACAGTACGAAAAGCGAAACGTCAATACTTTGCAGACAATTTGTCTAACTCCTCTTCCGCCAATATATGGAAGTTTCTTCACTCTCTTGGCTTTGGTAAATATTCTAATCTACCTAATACATCCTCCTTCTCCCGCAATGATAAATCATCACTTCTCATCAATTAACTATCTTGAACCCTCTTTAAAAGTAAATGCTATTTCTAGAATTGCTTCCATGGCCCAACCTAATATAGATTTCTTCTCATTTTCTCCAATTACTGAGGATGAGACTTTAAATATAATTCAATCCTTGAAATCAAATGCAGTTGGTTGTGACGATGTAAGCCGCAAAATGATTTCTCTGGTTATTCAACAAATTTTACCCATTTTGACTCACTTCATCAATTACTCATTTATCTCTAACATCTTTCCATCAATCTGGAGAAAAGCATTTGTTATTTTTACCCAAAGTACAAGTTCCTGGCAGATTATACGATGTTAGGGAAAATACTCTCTGCTACCAAAATGTTAGGGAAAGTACTATGTATATATATAGGGAAAAATATGTTTGGAAACGTCTGTCACGTACCTGTATGGTTCTGCGGATTTCCTGGGCTTCAGGGTCTCGAAGATATCTTCGCTAGCTTTCACACACGTTCACAGTAGGTTTCACAGTAGGTTAGCACAGTTCTAATTTATTTTAATTCACAACACAATGCGCGCGCGCGTCAAGGCCGCTGTATGGTCAGTTCAGTACTAGGTAAGGGAGGGGAAGTGAAAGCGCGGGAACAGAAAACTAACGGACTCTAATATAATAATCTGTGCTTACTATGATACAGGGTAGATTTTGAACATAGCCCCCGCTCTAAACAGCTATGATGTTTACGGAACAAATTATCAAAATCAAGGGAAAAATTACAAGGTAAAGGGGCTATACAATATATTACTCAATAGGGAGGCGACCAGTTTTGTAAGAGAACGTTTTAAGGAACCAGTAGAGGTTTTGACCTCGACCACTCGAATTACACCGTCTTGACCAGGAAATAACTGTACTATACGTCCGCGGCGCCACTCCAAAGGAGGGAGGTTGTCATCCTTTATCAAAACCAATTCATCAACATTAGGAGGATTCATAGGAGAAGTCCACTTATTACGAGTTTGAAGGGTTGATAGGTACTCTGAATGCCACCGCGACCAAAAATGTTGAGTAATTTGTTGCAATAAATGAAAGCGTGAAATGCGATGCTGCTTCTCGTCTCTCAATGGGTACTCGGGTAACGCAGTAAGGGGTTAACCAATGAGAAAGTGACCAGGGGTTAACACTTCAAGATCATTGGGATCTTGAGATAAGGAACACAAAGGCCGATAGTTAAGTACAGACTCAATTTTTGCAAATACAGTGGTCAATTCCTCAAAGGTAAGGGGATTTTCACCGATTACTCGTTTAAGGTGCGTCTTGGCAGACTTAACGGCTGCTTCAAACAATCCTCCCCAGTGAGGACAGGCCGGTGGGTCAAATACCCAATTTATATTCTTGCGGGCTAGTTGTGAAGCAAGATCATCATGCTTTTGGGACAGGAATGAATCAAGCTCTCTAATATAGTTACTCGCTCCTAAATAATTTCGTCCACAATCCGAACGTATAAGGGTAGGTAATCCGCGACGCGCAACAAATCGGGTAAAGGTAGATAGGAAAGATTCAGTCGTAAGGTCGGATACTACTTCTAAATGTACCGCTTTAGTTGACAGGCAAACAAATACACACAAATAACTCTTTAGTATTTTCTTATTTCGATAGGATTGTGCTTTAGTATAGAAAGGGACCTCATCTATATCTCTGATTGGAGCAAAGCCTATGGCCTTATTATTAATCCAAAAAAAACACAATGTATCATAATTGGAAGCCCATATTTTATGTCTAAATTAAAAAAAACAAGTCTCCCGCCTATTACCTTCAATGGCCATGTCATTGAATTCAAAGCCCAGGTAAAAAACCTCGGTATTTATTTCGATGAAACATTATCATGGTCGCACCAAATTTCGCAATTAAGTCGTAAAATATTTGGGTCTCTTGGAAGCCTAAATAGATTGCGAAATTTCCTGCCAGTAGATACCAAGACTGCGCTCGCACATTCGTTGTTACTCCCAATCCTAGATTATGCAGGTTCCTGCTATGTAAATCTTACTGAAGAACAATTGAATAAACTTGAGCGACTCCAAAACATTTGTATACGATTTATATTTGGTCTTCGTAAGTATGACCACATATCTCAATTTCGCAAACAACTCAAGTGGCTTCCCATTCGTCTTCGCAGGAACTACCATATTCTATCCCTCCTTTATACAATCCTCTCCCACCCTCATACTCCTCAATACTTAAAAAAGAACTTTCAGTTCCATTCTAAACACCCGGGTTCTGAATTACGCAGCACAAGAAGCCTCTGTCTTACCTTCCCACCTCATTCTTCTAAATATTACGCTGATTCTTTTACTGTACAAGCTATTCGTCTCTGGAACTCCTTACCATTTCCCATTCGATCAGCACAATCATATGCCATTTTTCAAAAATTATTAAAATCGCATTATCTATCCCTGTAATAGAATAATAACACGTCCTCTCGTCCATTATTATGTAGTATATGTATGTATATTGTATGTATTGGTGTGTAAGTTTATTTATTTATGTTTATAAAATGTATGTTTATCTATAATTGTATAATAAATAGAGTGTTTAGTGCGCCTCCTACCTTCTCTCTTTATGTAAATACTCTTTGTTAACACCGGGTTGTTTGTAAGAGATTGCTGATAGCGATAAGACCGCCTTTTGTAAAACATTTATTTTCATTGTTTTGTACTTACTGTCCTATGTTTATGTATGCGCAATAAAGAGTTATTATTATTATTATTATTAAAGGGCCCGCAAAGTCAGTGCTAACACGAGAAAATGGTCTAGCCGAAGTAACCCGGTCCCTGGGTAGATCACCCATAGGGGTTGAGATACGGATGCTTTAAGGCGGTAACAAGAGAGACAATGAAATATTATGTTTTGAATAGCACGTCGGGCCGATAATATCCAGTATTCACGGGAAAGGATAGCATGTAAGGCATTAGGACCAGCATGAGAATTTTCGATATGATAATGGGAAATTATTAATTTAACAAGGGGGCCAGACTTAGGTAAAAGTAATGGGTGACGAGCATCGTATGGGAGTTCAGAATTACGTATAAGTCTGCCAACTCTAACTAAACCGTTTTCATCTAGGAAACACGACAGCCGTTTTAAAGGGGATTTAATAACATTACCGCATTTTAAGGATTCTATCTCGTTAGAAAATGCATGTAACTGGGTTGCTTTAATAAGCATCAACAAAGAATTACGTCGTTCGTCAACAGAAAGGTAAGGATTAATAACACGTAAATTAACATTTTTAACATTATAAATAAAACGCAGAATAAAGCCTAACACTCCGACTAGTTTATTTAAGGAACTATACCGGTCGAGGAGAAACGAGAGATCCATAGCTAGCGTAGGTATTTCAATTAACAAACAGCGAAGGCCAGGTAAAGAATCAATAGGATTGTTTGTTAAGTCTGCACCAATAGGCCAATGATTAGGGGTTTCTGTCAACCAGGAAGGAGACCACCATAGATCATGGTTAAGAAGAGACGATGCGCTAAGACCTCGGGAAGCGCAATCGCTAGGGTTAATAGAACCAGGAACATGATGCCACTCGGAAGGGAAATCGGATGAGGTGATTTGAGACACGCGGTTTGCTTCGAATGTTTGAAGCAGGTGAGGAGGAGTCTTTATCCATGCCAGCACAATTTTGCTATCCGTCCAACTGTGGATAGCATCCAACACGATTACCTTCTGCAGACAGATGGTAACGTGATGAATTAATTTTGTGAGGAGCACAGCTCCTTGCAATTCCAACTTGGGAATTGTGAGCCGAGTACGTATAGGGGCAATCTTACTCTTAGAAATGAGGAAATGGACGGAGCAATGGCCAGAAGAGGATTCAGTCCTAAGGTATACAACAGCTGCATAACCAGCCTCAGAAGCATCACAAAAGCCGTGTAAGGAAATGGAAGTGGCATCCGCAGGCAATATCCGACGAGGAATGCTCAGCTGTTTGATATTCTCCAGGTCTTGTACAAATAATAACCACTCATCAGAAAGGGATTGGTTAAGAGGATCATCCCAGTTGAGGCCCGACATCCATAGACGTTGTATAAACGCTTTGGCTTTAAATACAACTGGAGATATCCATCCACATGGATCATAAATACGAGCGATGAGGGAGAGTATAGTATAGAACTGTACGTTTGGTTAGGGACTTCTGAGGCTTAAAGGAAAAACTGCATGTAAAGGAATCTGCAGTTGGATTATACTGAATACCAAGTACAGGAATGGTTGGTGGGTTATCTGGGTCATGAAATTCATATGGACCCTGTAGATGTTCGAGGGGTATGTCTTTGAGCAATTCGGGTTCATTACTGATCCATTTTCTCAACTCATAACCACCACAGGCTATTAGGGACTGAAGTTCTGTTTTTAATATTTGAGCTTCACCGAGTGAACTCGCTCCGGTTAGGCACTCATTAACATAAATATCATTTTCCAGAACAGCAGCTGCTCGTGGGTATGATGAGCGCTCACGTTCAGCAAGCTCTAAAAGGGTACGAATGGAAATGTAGGGACTAGACCGTAGGCCGTAAGTATTTGTAGCTAACTCGTACGTAACAAGAGGTGCAGATGGGTATTCACGCCACAAGATTAACTGATACCGACGATCATTGGGGTGCACCCAGGTCATTCGGAACCTCATTTTTATGTCTGTCACAAAGACCACAGCATGTCTACGGAAATTAAGAAGGATATGAGTGATATCTCGTTGGAGCTTGGGACCTGTGTGTAAACACTGGTTTAATGAAATACCATTAGAGTTTGGACTACTTCCATTAAAAACAACACGAATTTTAGAGTAGTCGTCGGCCTTAAACACTCCGTGATGGGGAATATAATAAAGCTCAAGTAATGATGGATTATAGGAAATGGGAGACCTATGGTGAAGATCTATGTACTCACGCATAAATATAATATATTTTTCACGAAGCTCTGAGTTGGCATTGAAACGTCTTTCTAAATTTAGGAAACACTTAACCGCTGTAGACTTGGATTAACCAAGCTGGGGACGATCAGAGATAAACGGAAGTCGGACCATAAAACGACCGTCACTCTCACGGGTGATGCCATTCTTAAAAATACGTTCGCGCTCTAACTCCTTAGGATTGGGATTGAGAACTTGAGGCAGTTCCTCAATTTTCCAAAATTTCTCTACGACCTGGGATAGAGAAATGCCAGTCATAGGGGGTTCAAGGTCGGGGAAATTACCAGCAACAGGTCCAGACAACACACAACCAAAAACGGTTGAAAGGCCGGTCAGACCATGAGGAAGAGGAATCGATTCCTCAGGCCGCACAAGATAACCGAACACGTCGGCACCTAACAATACCTCAATAGGCCCTGGTTTATAAAAGGAGGGGTCCGCTACGGAAAGGTGATTAATACTATTAACGACAGGCCTAGGCAATTTAATCTCAGGATGGGGGCCTGCAATTACATCAACAACCACTGCAGGGGTTGTTATCACAGGATACGATCTATGAACTGGTTTAAAGGTAAGGGAGATAGACCCGCGGGAATATACAGATTGAATGTTGCCAATACCGCGAATAGGTACTGAGTTTGATGATAAGGGGACATTCAATCTCTCAACAGCTAAGTCGGTAGTAAGCAGACAACCTTGTGCGCCTGTATCACATAACGCACGGGCCACTATAAAATAACCATAAGCCGATTTGACATGAATAATGGCGGTAGGTAGGAGGACTAGGGAATTGGAGGGAATAGACATATGTGGTGAGAAAGCAGGGGGGGATACAGGGCCTAGTGATTGGGACGAGTTCCGTCTATGATTGGTATGCATAGAACGGTCGGGGAGGTCACGTGACTTATGGTATGTTTTATCTCGGGAAGTGACCGCGGGGGGAGAGAACGTATGACGATAATCTTGTCGTGAGTATGTAGGAGGAGACGCTCGACGTGCAGGTGAAGACGAATCACAACAGGGAGTACGGCTGTTATAAGGGGGACGGTCCCCGCCCGTGCGGGGAAGTGATGTACGCGGTGCACTATGCACAACAGCATTGCGATAATTTGTATTATTACGATTCTGATGGTTAGGGTAAACAGGATCTCGAGAATTGTTAAAACACAGTAAGGTGTGATGGGAGGACCGAGCACAGACAACACACCTGTAATCACGTGTGCAATTGGCTATCGAATGTTTATCTAAACATCGATAGCACAGGCCAGACGATTTAATAAAATAAGATCGGTCACGTGGGTTCATATCACGAAATTGGGGACATTCACGTAAATAATGGGAATCACTATTACACATATGGCACTTCTTATTGGAAACTGGTACCTGGGAAACATAGGCCCTACGCGGGTGGTTAGATTGCTGGTTATGCGAGTATTTAGGTCTTCGTTCAAACGTACGGGAAGTTGGGGCAGAATCTACTAATGCTGCATCACCTACATTATCATGGTGGCGGTACTCATCCTCTAAAAAAGTGATGATCTGATCAAACTGGGGCAGTCGATCACTATCACCACCGTAACACCGCTCAAAACGAGCCTTTAACTCCAGGGGAAACTTATTAAGGAATATGTGCACTAGCATATATGACTCACTAGTCACAGGTAACTCTAAGCGTTCCAAACAACGATAAGCTGTTAACAATGGGTTGAGAAACGAAGCACGTAATCCATTCAATTTAGGTGGTATGTTAGGTAAGGTAAGGATCTGTGTTATATATGTATCCGCCAGTATTCGCGTATTATGATATCTCCGCTTTAACAAATCACGAGCGATAGGGTAATTCTCTGCTTCAATACGTAAATGTAATAGTAGACGTTTAGGTTCACCCGATAATGCACCAACAAGGTACTGTAACTTATTAGTAGGGCTAAGGTCAGGCTGGGAATCGACAATACTATTAAATTGGTCGACAAAGCTCAAATAGGATCCGCTTTGGCCATTAAAGGTAGGAATAGGTAAGTCAGGTAGTTTATTTTTAATACACATTAGAGGGGAAGATATTAATGGAAGCCGCTTAGGAGTACTCGACTCTGTAGGGGGATCATGGAGGATGTCTTTTATAGGGCGGTAGAAGATAGTGTATTTTTGCTGGCCCTATCGCTGGGAGATATCTGCCTCTTTAGTCTTTCATCAGGGTGAGGAGTCCAAAAGACCCCTCCCCCCGCAATTTGGTCAAGGTCGTTCCACTTTTAGGGAAGTTGGTCTTAGTTGGCAATTGTAAATTGCAACAAAGTTGTGTTTGCAATTGCTGATTGGCTGACCTCTCCCAAAGTGGTCTGCGGGTGGCTGTAATGGCCCCCGCACCCCCCCCCTCTCTCCGAGGGCCCCCCATCGATTTGGGGGAACAAAAGAAGGTGTGGCTGGAAAAGCCGGAACAAGGGGGGTGCCTGAAAAGGCGATGTGTTTGGGCCCTAGGCCCGATATGGATGCTCTAAAGGGCCGAGAAGAGAGGATGGAAGTGGGGAACCCGACCCAGGAACAGGGACGCCCAATGACCCGCTCTCGCTCCAACTCGGCGGTAATAGAGTTTGTGCGCCCGTCGGACATGGCTGCCGGGCGTAGAAGAGACGCCTTGATGACGGCGTTGAATATGACTCCGCAGACTCGATGGCTAGCTCTGTGGACGTCGAGGAAGCGGCATTAGCCGCGAAGAAAGGGAGATCCCCCAATGAAGGGAATCTTTGCGCGGGCCTCGCGACGGCAAAAGTGGTCCTGGTTAGAAGCCGGCGCAGGGAGTTCCTAAAAAATAGGGGTAGTGACTCCGAAGGGGATGAAGACTCAGATTTGGACCCCCGCGTTACCCGAACGGGAATAAAGGCCCCCGCGATCACACGGACCCCGCAGAGGTGTACATACATAAGGTCCGGGAGGCGATTGTCGAAAAAACAACTGAGGCTAAGGCGGTCGTCAAGAAGTCGGGAAATCTGAAGGGGACCTGCCAGAGGCAGATAAATGATGCGCTGAATGGCCTAGCATCCCTGGCGGAGTCCCTGGAAGCGGATCTCATCCCGAGATCGGTGACGCCACTACTGAGGAGGAACTCCGACATCCAGTCGGAACTCCACAGACTCCAGAGGGAAAATGAGGAGCTCAGGGCTAAGATTGCCACTGCACCCTCGGCGGAAAGCCTGAGGCCGACACCGGCCTTCCAGCATGCGGCACGTTCATCCAAGAACGCAAATGACTGGGACACGTTCAGGTCCCAGATCATGGAGGACGTTGGCCGCGTGATGGAGCGGCAAACGGCGGAACTCATGCGTCAAGTTAGGAGCATGATAGCTCCACAGCGGGTAGACTTGGGGTTGGAGGACGATGTCCCCAACTACATGTACCGCCCCCTCTCCAGAACGGGGACCGAATCGAGGCGTACCGGCGAGGGGGGAACATTAGACCTGGTGTTGCCCCCAAGCCGGAACCAGCGGGAGCAAGGCGCCACAGTCAGCGCCGCGTAAGAAGGGTGGGCAAGCAGGTCAGTCTCAGCCTGCCCCTTCTAAAAAGGCGGGCCCTGCGACTGCTTCCCAGCAGCCTACTACGGCGGTGGAAACATGGGCCACCGTCGTAAGGAAGAATGGGCGTACCACAAACGTCCCGGAGGCTAAGGCTGGACCGTCAGGGGCACAGACAAAGAAGGCGAGCGGGTCCCATTCTCAGACCCAATCGCAAAAGAAGGGAAGGGGGCCCCTCGCCAAACAAGTTGAAGGCCCCCGCTCTGCGGCAGTAATCCTCGCCCTCCCGCAAGAAGCGGAGATGGCCGGAGCGAGTTATTCCGGCATCCTTAGGGAGGCCAAGGCAAAAATTGACCTGGCCTCACTAGGCATTGAGGAGCTCCGTTTCAAGTCGGCGGCAACGGGGGCGAGGATCCTTGAGATCCCGGGTTCTCAGAGCGGGGAAAAGGCAGATGCGCTAGCGCAGAAGCTGCGAGAGGTCCTCGGGGAAAACCCTGTGCAGGTCTCCAGGCCCACCAAAACCGCAGAGATGCGGATAATGGGCCTGGATGACTCGGTCATCCTGAGGACATAGCACAGGCGGTATCCAGGGACGGTGAGTGTGCGCCCGAAGAGGTTAAGGCAGGGGAAATCCGCCTTCAGCTCGGTATCACCGACCTGAGGTTCCGCGTGGGAAGGACCGGAGCCCGTATTTTAGAAATACCCGGCGCGAACACAGGCGAGGCGGCAGACGCGTTAGCCGCCAGGATCGAGGAGGTCCTGCCCGAGGACGTCGTCCGGGTCTCCAGGCCAGTTAAGTCGGCCGAACTGAGGATCGGAGACCTGGACGACTCGACACTGGTGGCTGACGTTGTCGTCGCCGTGATGCGCGAGGGGGGTTGCCTGGAGTCCGCGGTTAAAACCGGGGAAATCCGGCGCAACTCCCAGGGTCCGGGCTCCGTGTGGGTGCGGTGCCCAGTGGCCGCCGCTAAGAAGTTGGCCGAGGCCGGCCGGCTTAGGATCGGGTGGGTGATGGCGCGGGTACAGGCTCTGGACCCGCGACCTCAGCGGTGTTATCGGTGCCTTCTTACAGGCCATGTGGGCGTCCGATGCACCGCCGGGGAAGACTGCAGCGGAATCTGTTTCCGCTGCAGCGAGCCCGGCCATAAGGCCGCACGGTGCGCCGCGCCATCACCGAACTGTCGGTACTGTGCCGCGGCGGGTCGGAAATCCGACCATAGAGTGGGCGTCACTAATTTGTGTCGCCCGCCTAAGGCCCGAGCCGCGGCGCGGGCCACAGGTGGGGGGGGGGAGTCGATGGACGCTTGAGTAAAATCAGGTGTGCATCGACTCCAAAATTGACCCTAGGGTGGAGGATTGTTAGGGCAATCCGAAGCTCGCCGGGGAGGTTTTAGGGTCTGTCGGTGGCGTGCAGACACTATTCCCTGCACGCCTAGATGGAGGTCCCTTCGATGGGTACCATGCCGGGGTCTTGGGCGAATGCTTTGCGTTCCCATGGCCCGGGCGATATGATTCAAGGAGGAATAGTCGTCAGGTTTTTAGCAGGTAGGAGTCCGGCAGTATCCATTCCTCCCTAAGGGAATGGTTCTCCATGATGGATTTTCCTGACGTAAAAAAAAAAAAAAAAAAAAGGGGAAATCCGCCTTAACCCTTCTGGACTAGGCACATGCTGGGTGCGGGCGCCGATCTTAGTGGTCAAAAAGATCACGACGGCCGCCCGCATCAAGGTGGGTTGGGTGTCGGCCCCGGTCGAACTCCTGAGGCAGAGGCCACTTAGGTGCTTTAAGTGCCTGCAGACAGGCCACGTACGGATGCGGTGCCCGCACGAGGGGGATCGCAGTGGCCTCTGCTTCAGGTGTAGCAGACCTGGTCACAAGGCCGCTGGCTGCACAGCCGCTCCAAGTTGCGCCATCTGCCGGGAAGCAGGCAAGCCGGCGGACCATTGGATGGGGAGCAAAAATTGCTCCCCAAACAGGCAAAATAAGGCCAAGAAGGGGCCGGCACCCGCACCACCAGCGACAGCCGCCGTCCCGACTACAAGTAGTTGGGCCGGGTTGGAGGAGGAGATGGAGCAGAGTCGCGTTTGAGCTGCCGTGGCGTGCGGACGTGTGCACGGTTGCTCTGTCGCGTGTCGCGTGTCGCGGTCCTCTGTGGCGCCGGTCGGGTCCCCGCGACCCGCCGCTGCCTCGGTGCTGTTACTAGGCAGTCTATTTCATACATACTGTGAAATAAAACATGTCCTGACATGTTTTTGACGTAAGTAGGTCAGTACGCTTACTGTATAGTGACGTTAGGGATAGGACCCGTGATTTTGTGTTTTCGTGTTTTACTGTGTGTGATCACGATGTTTAAAAACATCGGTTAAGGGATCGAAGCGAATGAGGGTGAACCCTCACGGTGCATCATCCGCCGACGAGTCCGGTAGCTCGGCCGCAGAAGGGAAGCGGAAGGTGGTAATGACTGAAGAAGGCCTTCAGCAATGTACTGAGTTTTCTGACTCCGTTGCTGACTTGTTGAAGGTATTCAGCCGTTCACTTCTTAGGAAAGTAACGGCAGAAGTCCATACCAGCTTACAGCCGGTAATGGAAATGCCAGCGACGGTGAAAACCGTGCTGGAGAAGGTGAGGATGAGCTCCACAGCCCGGGAAGAGGTCGTGAAAGCCACTATGGAAGCTGCCGATGGTGTCGCAGAGCTCTTCTGCAATATACAGACGTTGTTCGAATCGGACTTAGAATCTGAGGAAGTGACAATAAAAGGTGAGGAAGTAGCTAGTGAGTACGCTGTGCTAGAGGCGAGAAGGTACGCCTCGCGCAAGCGTATCACACAGCTCAAGGAAGTGTGTGATAAGTTGTCGACGGACTGTGCGTCTCTCACTACTGAGAGGGACGAGTTGCAAAAAACAGTGGACAAGAAGTGTGACGAGTTGAGGAGTCTGAGGGCGGAACTGGAGGCGCGTTATAGTGCGCCTCCTGACCCCCCCGCGGACGACCCGCCGCGCGCTCTCGACACTGCTGCGATGTCGCGCTTAGAAGCCGTCCTAGATTCCCGTTTCGGGGAACTGGACCGGCGACTGAGCGCCATTGAAGGTGGCATAACCGCGCGGCGCGCGCGCGCCGCCGCGGCCCCGCTGCAGACGACGGCACCGCGACGCGGCGCACCGCCCGCTCCGCCGCGCCCCCCGCCCGCCGCCCGCGGAGACGCGGCGGCGGCGGCGGCGGCGGCGGCGGCGCCGCGCGGGCCCGGGCCCGGTGCCGCCGACAAGTGGACGACGGGGGTGCGACCGCGCCGCAACCAGGGCAAAAGACCCCTGAAGGTGAACAATAATAAGGACGAGACAGCTCCCGTTCGACGGGATGTAGGTAGGCAGGCACGTGCGCCGAACAGACTACGCGTGCCTCGGTCCTCGGTTGTAGTGATCGATATACAGCCGGAGGCCGAGGCCAGAGGCGTAACTTACGCCTCATTGCTTAAAGATGTGAAGGACAGGGTAAACATTTCCGACCTAGGCATAGATGCAGTGAAGTTTAGGGTTACGGCTA